GTAGTAGTGTGTGTGTGTGTGTGTGTGTGTGTGTGTGTGTGTGTGTGTGTGTGTGTGTGTGTGTGTGTGTATGTGCGTGGTGTGCAGCAGACGCGCGCATTCGTGACACGGATACGATTCACCGCGAGCCACCCTTCCCTCTGTAGCGGTACGTGGCCTCGCCCCTTGTACGTACCATCGCGGCACCTAACGATACTCCTGATGAACAACAGTGATATGATCCACCGAGAAACGGTGGTAATGCCAGTATCGAGAATTTTCGCCAAAGTCGCTAAAAGAAAACTATGAAAAATATAATATATCTAAGAGATCTATTTATTATCATAATCAGAGGAACAACATTTTTTTTATTATTGCTACGCGCATCAGAGTTATTCTTTATTTTATTATTTTAACCGAGCAATATTTAATTTTTTTAGGCTATTATTTGCAACATCTTTGTTATATTTCTGTTGTGTTTATTTTTTTTTTTTCAAATATCCACCGAGTTACAATTGAGAGAGAAGAGAAAACAAAAAGAGAAACGCGGCAGAGGGTGGCAAGGTTAAGTAAGAGTAAAGAGGAGGGAGCATTGAATGAGAACTTCTAGGTCGATGAGAGGGTGTAGAGAGAGGGAGACAAACCGTCCTTCGTAAATCGAGAGGGTGAAGAAAAGAGATAGAATGTAGGCTAGTCTCGTTGGCGAACAGCGTCCCCAATCGATACGCACGCAGCAAACTTCTACGCCCTCTCGTTCTGTCAATCTTTCGTTTCATTACACTTTATTGCAGTTAACTGACAAATATGTAATTTCACGAATGAACTATAATAAAAGATAGAGATAGAGAAAAAGAGAAAGAACAGATTTGTGATCTTTTACATTTTTATATTTTTATCGCGTAATGTTACACATTAGATAATATGTGATAATACATCGATGACATTAATCTTGCACATGAGTATAATATAGATTTAACGATGCAGATTACATTAGAGATTGAGCCTTTTCCAGGAAAGGAAATATTTAAGCACATTAGTAGTTTTCGAATTATCAAAAATTCTATTTAATTCTATTTAATTCTAGATTTAATCCAACTATTTCCAACTTTTAATATTTTTAATATCGAGACACACACGTGACAACATCTATGTATATCTATTTATGTTTACAATAGTAATAGTAGAGTGATTATTCGTGGCAGTTTAATGAAATTTTTTAATTACTTTATTCGACCAAGCAACACGTCATATCCGTTTCCGCTGGGATATCCAGAGCTCAGCCTTGTAATATTCCTGGGTAATATTCCTGGGGAGATCTATCCCCCCTTTAAAAGAATCACACACATTCCATGTAATACTTGTATCTATATATATATATATATATATATATATATATATATATATATATATATATATATATATACTATATACTATCAAATTATACATGAAATGTACCGTATATTACCGTATACAAAACTAGATTTTAATGGAGAGAAATAAAAACGTTATAAACAAGAAATATGAAAAGCGCGACTCTCCTGGCATCGCGTTTATAGATACCTTTTGAATTAATCCGTTTTATTGAAGAATAGATGATTTTTTACAGACTGCAGGATGTTAAGAGATCGTAGACAGCTACGTCATATCCGGTTTCCGGTAGTCGAGCTACAGAAACAAAAACATCTCTCGATATGTGTTTCATTTAAACGTGGGATAATCAACGTGGGATTTAACGGAAAAATTCGAAACACACGCGAAATGAATAGAAAGAAATTGCTTACAAAAACTTTAATTTACATATGTACCTAATGTTTTAATAAAACATTGTTCCTTATTTGGGTTTATTGGCTAGTATTCTGTTTATATATAACAATCAATATATAATATCGCAAGGGTATTTGATTAAATTAAACAAAATGTATTCTCGTACGTTTCTTGATACTTAATTGTTTTTCGTGATAATCTTGAAAAAGATGATTATTTATCAGAGTTTTCCAGTTTATAACAAAGATTATATTGTACTTCATCTTTGTAACTGCATCTAAAATTAAAATTCTATTAAGGTAAAACCTCCACTTGATAAAAATTAATTAAAGAGTATAGTTATATCGTTCAATTAAAATTAAGTTTGCGCGAGAAAGCAGATGCATTATCGCTCACAATCGCTTATGTCAGAAATCATTTGTTTTTTGACATTTGTGTTGGGAAAAAATAATTAAATAATTAAGAAGGGACTTCGAAATCCTTTTTGGAGATATCCTGCGTTTACATGTCTTTTAAAAGTAGAAATCGATATTTCTCAGGGTAAGATCATATCTATACAAAAGCAGTTCTTTTCGTTATCGCGATGAGGATCCTTCGCGTGGAGTAGCGAAGAAAAACAAGCACGCGGAGCGAGTGTCCACGTTCTTTCGCTGGGTAAAGAGAAACATCAAAAGCCGCGCATACGCAATGCGAATACCCGTGCAACCTTCAATGGGCTGCCTACCCATTCGCATCCGCTCGCAGGCTCAGATTGAGCTCTTCCATTGAGCAGCTTGGCTGCTTCCGCTTTCCGTTCATGCGTCTGTCTCCTCTCCTTTTTCCCTTTTTTCCTCATCCGTCCTACGTTTCCCTCCTCCCCCTCCCCCTCCCCCTCTCCCCTCCCCCTCCCCTCCCCTCCCCCCGATCGTTTTCCTCCCTTGGACGGATATAGGCGATAGCGATATATCCGATTCGATGAACAATTATTAAGAGTCGCAAAGAGTCTAGAATTTGGTATTCATTGCAAATTGCTATTAATGTGCTTATCGGGGAAGATATTGATCGAATGTCGGTTTTTCAATGAACTGTACTGCCGTTGCTGGTGGCAGTATAAGGGACAAGGCGATACGCGACCCAGAGCCATCCACAGCGACCTACTTTGAAGCTCTGTGACGTTGAACGGTCCATTCACCTTGCAGCTCGTTCAGAAATCAAAGCACGTGCCATCATTGGCTACTTAATGAATACGCGGTGGGACAATTTCTATAGAAAATATTTTGAAAGTATACGTACTGAAAATATCCAGCGCTAAATATATCTGCTCTCATTATTTTCTCGCTCTGCGAAGAATTTAAAATTGAGAAAGACGAAAACAAAAAACGCTAATGTTGACGAGTATTTTGCGTTTATTAAATCTTTATTATTTTGCTCGTACTACTTTGTTTAAATGTCAATCAAAAACGGGTCGCTTAAGCTATGATCGATTTTCTCATATCGTGAGAAAAATGCGACGGAATGGTGAATTAGATGAATTAGATATTTTTGCCTCTTGAATGATTTTCATTTCATCTGGAAAATACTAACTAAAGGAATGAAATTCTTTAAACATGCTTATGTCAAACGATATTTTACAAACCGAAGATTTCGAGGTGACCTCTTCTGTAAGACCGATAACGTTAGTGAAGTTATAGTGACCTCTTATTACCCTAAGTTATCGAGTTATTTATATGACTAAATTCCTTTATACAATCAGCATTTCTTACCAATTGCATAATTTATTAAAGAAATGTGAGTGTATTGCGTAATTTAAACTTTACTTTTTAGAATGGGGAATTTCTTTTTGCAAAAAGATCAGCATAGAGGGTAGCTTGTCCCAGTAACCTAGTTTATCCCTGGGGGTTGAATGAACGGAGTTGAACGCCAGATGACGTCATTCTCGACCCCATTTCCGGTTTCCCGGTGCAACCAGTTATCCAGCTCTATGTCCCGTTGACCCGAAATTTCTCATGAATTGAAGGACATTCGTTCATAGCGTGTCGAACTACTGCGTATGAATGAATTTTCTGCTTCGGTATCATTGTTACCTCGAAGCGAAAAAAAGAGTTCACACGCTTTTAAGGTCACAATTAATTGAATCGCGTGTCTCTCATAAGGCGATGTCTTTCACAATGAAACTTTATTCGATTATCTTCTTTATCTTATTTTGAAAAACAAGAATTTGTCGCAATCATTCTAATGACATTACGCATTTAGAAGACTTTAGATTCTCTAGAGATCTCAAATATTCGATCAAAATAATATATAATCCTAAAATAATAAATTATTAAATTACTAAATTATTTGCATTATCTTTATTTCCTCATTGAGATTGAAATAAATTATTGAAATTTGAATCATAAAATATATCATGTGACTTTTAAATTTTATTCTTTTCTTTTTTTGTTTTTATAAAGTATCTAATACATAAGAGAGAAAGTGCAGGTATCGTGAAATTTTATTTCACGTTTAATAGTCTAAAAACTTCTAATAACATTGCGATTTGATTTTCATTTCTATCTTTTATAATATCTCTGTAACGTTGCACTTTCATAATTTTTAAGATTGTGCTGCAAGTTGTGCTGCAAGTTTTCATAAATAATTACATCTTACGCACATGAACAATTTTGTTTTCGCTCTAATCTACTTATAATTGCCCTGACCTTTGTATATATAACATCAAGCCTACAATCGTTATGCTTATGCACACATCAGTCTTGCGCAGTCGCGCGAGATTTGATAAGACATTAGTGTTATCGCTTAAAGGTATAAGTTTACGACTTAATGTCGTCAACTTATAAATATCGAATGATGATGACTGAGTTCCCTAGTGTTCTCGAATAATACGATTCCAGCGGATATAAATTACAATACAATGGAATATTTAAGTTTTAATCTATCGAGCAAGTCGCTTACTTTAAAAAAACGAGATATTCTTCCAAAACCAGGGGGAAACGAAGTCCGAATTAAAGTTGCATATTCTGGCATTTGTGGGACGGATCTCCATATTTTAGAGGTATGTACTGTATTATAAATATTTATAATTTATAATTTTTATATATATTATTATTTTATTAATTGTAGAATTGTGTAAAAAAATTATAAAAAAGATTATAATGATTTCGAACGGTTATCACAATGAAATTTTATAAATATGATATGGTTTTCAATTAGATGTACTACATTGCAAAAGATATAAGTTATCATATATATATAAATATAAATATTTTATTATCAAGATACAGAAACAAACTTTATTAATTCAATTATTCGAAAATTATTTAGAATATTTAAAATTACTTATTAATTATTACGAAGAAAATATATAGTTTTATGAATCGCAATAAATAGTTTGTTTTATAAAAATTCGATAATCGTTCTTTTATTTAAATTAACATGATCGATAATAATGCGATGAAATTTAAATTACTGTTGATTATTTCATATCATTGTCGGTATACAACACACACACACACACACACACACACACACACACACACACACACA